GATAGTAAGCCCCAAACCCCAAAACCCTGGAGACACCCTTTGGGGTTTTGGGTTTGCCGCTCAGGGTGTTGCGGCTTAGATAGAAGTCCCGCGAAGTACACGCCATAATTTGAGATCCTTGTAACCATATTTCGGGCTTAGGGTTTAGGGTTTAGGGGTTTAGGGCTTAGGGTTTATGATAACCCTACTTATAAGTAGCCGAATACCCCTAAACCCTAAACCCTAAACCCTAAACAAGGAATCAGGGAACAAAAACAAATCAGCAAGAGGAAAAGAAAGAGTCAGACATGCCGCGGAGGCTTTGAAGCAAGGGCGCAGTAAATTTGCGAAGCGAAGCTTCAAACACATGAGCCGGCATGCTGTTTTCACCGTGTGCTTTGTCACGATACAGAGCCAACAGATGTCGTCTTTGTTCGTCAAATCTTCCCCCCTAAAGCCGGAACCCTAAACCCTAAACACGAAACCCAAAACCCCCAAGACCCCAGCCCCAAACCCCTAAGCCCGAAACCCCTAAAACCTAAACCCTCGCCCTAAACCCGAAACCCTAAACCCTAGCCCTAAACCCTATAAACTCCCAAGGCCTAAATCCTGGCCTCATGAAGGGGCGTACGGCCCTGGTAGTCTGCGAAGTCGATGGTCGCCCCTTGGGTGCAAGGGGGTAGGGTTTAGGGTTTAGGGTTTAGGGTTCAGGGTTCAGGGTTTCGAGTTTAGGGCTTAGAGTTTAGGTTTAGGATTTGAGGTTTAGGATTTAGGGTTTTTGGGGCCTAAGGTTTTTGGGTTTAGTAACTTGCTGTGTAGGGTTGTGTGTGCCCAGGTGGGGCGGTTTAGGGAGTTTAGGTTTAGGCCGCAACCCCAAGCTGCAAAACGCTAACCAAGCGAAAGCGCTCGGGTAGATTCACTTCCATGGGAGCCTTGCTGGTGGCTCGTGGAGTGTGAAGAACCAATGCCCTAAACCCTGAACCCTAAGCCCCAAACCCGAAACCCTAAACCCTAAACCCTAAACCTTAAACCCTATACCCTATGATGCCCGTAGCCTGCTCTGCCAGAGGCCTGTTGGCTTCGAATCTGCCCTTCTCGCTTAGCAGGAATGCTCGAACATGCACAAGCCGTCGAACTTGTTTCAAGGCGTTCTATGCGAAGCCCTGGCTCCATCATGGCTTCGCCCTTCGAAACCACGTCGTGCGAGGTTTAGGGTTTAGGGTTTAAGGCTTAGGGTTTAGGGTTTAGGGTTTCGGGTTTAGGGTTTCGATTTCGGGTTTAGGGTTTAGGGCTTAGGGTATCGCCCCGCTGCGGTTCTGAGGACGTATGAAGGTGACAAGACCTGTCGCGAGGCCAGCCCGTTCTTAAGCCACAGCTTGTTGAGTGCCTCCACTTTCATGTTGATCGCTGTGTCAGACTCATGTCAAAGCCATGCCTGCAACCTTTCTGCTTATACTCCAGACAATCACTGCCGGCACCATGCATTGGGGGCAGGGGGGGTGGGGGGCATGGTTTAGGGTTTAGGGTTTAGGGTTTAGGGTTTAGGGTTTAGGGTTTAGGGTTTTGGGTTTAGGGTTTAGGGTTCAGGGAGGGTTTTTCTTTTGAGGACTCTCATGGTTAGGAGCCCTTCCTTGGAAAGGCTTGGATTTATGGGGGCCCGAGCTTACAAGTACCCTGCATGGCAACACCACAAGCCATGGGTTTCCCTGCTACCCCGCCCTAGGTTGCCCCCATAATTAAGGCTGTTGAGAGATAATTAAGCCTAATTAAGGCTGTTTAGGGACAATTAAGCCTAACTAAGGCTATTTAGGGATAATTAAGCCTAATTACGGCTATTTAGGGATAATTAAGCCTAATTAAGGCTATTTAGGGATAATTCAGCCTAATTAAGGCTAGAGGGGGGTAGTAGGGAAGCCCATGACACAACAACCCTGAAACCAGGAAGCGACCAAACCTTAACTTCGAACCTACGAAAGTCGTCTCCGATGTTGGCAAAAAAACCCGCGGGCCGTGAGCAACAGCGGTTTAGGGTTTAGGGCTCAGGGTTTAGGGTTTCGGGTTTAGGGTCAACCCGAAGCCCTAAACCCCAAACCCTAGACCCTAAATCCTAAACCCTAAACCCTAAACCTAGGGTTTCGGGTTCGGGGCTTATAGGGACTTGGCTGTTGGCTGGGAGCTGCGCCCTTCTCGGCAAGCGCCTTCACCAAGATTTCGTGGTTCTTCCATGTGGCCTCCTCGGCGAAGGGGTGCGAAAAACCCTAAGCCCTAAACCCTAAACCCTAAACCCTAAACCCTAAACCCTAAACCCCCCAACTCGGGGCTTCCTTGCGGATCGGGATGCAGGGCTTTTGGGCCCTCAGGGCTTTACAAGGCCTGACGTCACAATATTCTACACCCTGAGCCCTCAACTACTGTCTTGGGGTAGTTACATGGTCCCTTTTAAGGGTCTAGGTTTCAAGGTTTCACGGTTTAGGGTTTAGGGTTTAGGGTTTAGGGTTTAGGGTTCCCTTAATATGGGAACCTTTAATGGGGACTCCTTACATACTCCTTATATACCCTTTACAACCCAAGGGCCCATACTTCAGAACCCTGAACTACCCTTAGATACTATTTGCGTAAGAACACCTTAACAAATATGAAATATTCTCCCTAAGACGGTGAATACTGTGATTGTCATCGTTCATATTTGGGGAGGGTTCTTAAACAACCAGTAGCAAGCCCTAAACTCTTTTAACGCTAAACCCTACCCACTAAACCCTAGATCCCTCCCCTAACACCTCAAAGCCCAAAGCCAGTTTTGCAAAAACAAAACAGTCTTTTGGAAGGCTTGTGTACGCATGCCGGGCCTCTCGGGGCCTCCAACAATATCGAGGGACGTCGGTTGGGGGGTTTAGGGTTTAGGGTTTAGGTTTAAGGTTTAAGGTATAGGGTTTAGGGTTGCCTGATGGGTCCCGGAAACTCTGACTCGACATTGCCTTGAGTGGAAACCGCTATTCCTAAACAGCCCCTAAAGGCCCTAAACCCTAAAGCCCCTAAACCCCAAACCCGAAACCCCAAACCCTAAACCTCAAACCCTAACCCCAAACCTTGAACCGCAAACCCTAAACTTCAAAGACAAGTGAGTGGGGGGGTGGCGGCCGGGATTAAGTTTCCTCATAGCGTCTAAATGCGTCAAAGATTGGGGTGGGGGGGGGCTTCGAGACGAAGAGGGATGTTGTAGGTCTTATAAGCCTCTTTCTTCGCGGCTTTGAGAGTACAACCCCAAAATCGGGCTATTTTCCTTACTGCCGGGTTTCGGTGTCTAGGATCATTCAGGGCGTGCCCTTGTGCAATGTGTCTTTCTGCTGCAACTGTGATGGGAGGTTGCAGGTCTTGGGGATTCAGGGGTTTAGGACTGAGGGTTTCCTGCAAGGTTTAGGGCGTGCCTATTTCTGAACCCTAAACCCTAAACCCTAAATCCTAAACCCTGAACCCTAAACCGCAGAAGCCTCCCTTAAATCCGCCTCAAAGGCCCTTGAGGGTTTGTAGAGGGTGCCGGGGTTTTGGGCCCTAAGACCTAAGCCATTGAGGCCAGCGCCCACAGAGCCGAGCGGTAGTAGGGTTTCTTGCAATAGTCGAGGCCGTACTCACGTCCTCCAAGGGTTTAAGGGTTTAAGGGTTCAAGGGTTTAAGGGTTTAAGGGTTCAAGAGTTGAAGGGTTTAAGGGTTGAAGGGTTCAAGGCTTTAAGGGTTTTTGTGTTTGGGGTTTAAGGGTTGTGCCAAAGTTCCCGGCAATCTACTTACTACTTACACAGTGTCATGGCTACCAACCTGCCCAAACCCAGAAAAGACACCTGCTAGAGTCTGCTAGAGTTAGGTTTCAGGGTTCAGTGGTGCTCCCAGAACCCAAATTCCCAATTCCCACCCTGCCCCTCCGCAAGTACTGCCTAAACCCTAACCCTAAAAGATAAACCCCTATAAATCCCAAACTGCAAACCCCAAACCCCATCTTCACAAACCCTAAACCCGAAAAAAACACCTAACTCCCAAATTCCTAAACCCTAAACCTGAAGCGGGATACTTGGGATCGTGCCGGTGGGGGGTGGGGGGGGGAAGGGGGGCTTTAGAACCCTGAAATGTCACAAGTGGCTTCGGGCTGGTAGGGCGTGAGGGTTGCAAGAGCTTGTACAGAGCTAGGTTGGGGTTCTCCGGCTAAAGGTTAGGGTTTTGCGGAAGATGCGGAAATGTGCGGATTCAGATCTGCGCTTGGGGGTTTTTAGGTTGGGGGTGGTTGGGGGTCCAGGGGCATTTGCACGCGGCGCATTTGCTTCAAGTAGGTACATGGGTAGATTGTTAATTTAGTAGAGTACTTACCTTCACTACTGTTACCTAGCCCCTAAACCCTGAACGCTGTGAACCCTAAACCTTAAACCCTACACCCTGAACTGCAGCTCAAGGGATTGAGGTTCGAGGTTTGCGGAGGGTTTCGGGAAGTTTTGAGGTCTATAGGGGTCCGAAAACCCAGAGGCAGCCTAAGGATCAAGTTGGGGTTGAGAGTTCAGGTGTTTAGGGTTTAGGGCTTAGGCTTAGGGCGGAACCCTGCAACAGGAGCGCGGTTCCGCCCGAATGGGTTAGGATGTGGGATTTGGGGTTTAGGGTTTAGGGGTTTGGGGGTTTAGGGGTTTAGGGGTGTAGGGTTTTAGTTTTCACGGACCCTTCCTTCAATGTACTGACCTCTTGGATATGATGCGTATGATGCAAGGTTGCTGCATCGGAAAACAAGCAATCCCCTATACAAGCCGCAAGCCTGGACACCCTACACACCCTGTACACCCTGTGCTATAAAACCCTGTAAACCCTGAAAACCCTATAACGCCCTACCGACCCTGATCTAGGCGCCTGATTAATTAGAATAGGGCCGGGGGGGGGGTTGGGTCATTTTTAGTAGATCTTGATAGGGACCATAAGGGAATGCTACTAACTAGTAATTCTTCCGACCCCCCCCCATATTGAGTAGTTTAATTATTGGAAATCCGATTCGCTCATGCGACTTCCAAGGAAAAGCTCGCGCCATCCCACACGGAGCCGATGCGCAGATCTCGCAGCTTGCGGCCTGCGAAGGAGCCCTTCCTCGGCTTGGCCCCGCGACAGGCTCTGAAAAAGGGGGGGTTTAGAGCTTAGGGTTTAGGGTCTTAGGGTGTGGGTCCTTAAGGAGGGAAGGAAGGAAGGGAAGGAGGGAGGGAGGAAGGGAGGAAGGGAGCAAGGGAGGAAGGGAGGAAGGGAGCAAGGGAGGCAGGGAACAAGGAAGGAAGGAAGGGAAGAAGGAAGGGAAGTAGGAAGGAAGGAAGGAAGGGAAGAAGGAAGGGAAGAAGGAAGGGAAGAAGGAAGGGAAGAAGGAAGGGAAGAAGGAAGGGAAGAAGGAAGGGAAGAAGGAAGGGAAGAAGGAAGGGAAGGAGGAAGGGAAGAAGGAAGGAATGGAGCTCCTGAAGTAAGATCAAATATAACCGTATAACCAAAAGCCACAGGGTTATTGCTGTTCGCCGAAGCCTCCTATAAACAGAAAAGTCTTTAACAACGGCAACTCGCCACCTAAAACTGCTCTGTATACACAATAGAGGCAAACCAAACGGTACAAAGCGCCACATGCTTGCCTAAGTTTCTCATGCAACTCGACGATCAGATGCAGGCCCCATCGCCCAACGACTCGGGCCCCGGGTGCCAAAAGAGGAAGGTAATTCTGCAGATCTTCCAGCATGCCCTCGCGGGAGAAGCGGGCGTCCAGCACCAAGAGGTCCACAGAAAGACCCTCTTTGGCCAGCAGCTGGCTGGCCCTTGTGGTGCTCATCGGCATCATCAGGCGCACGCGGGAGCCGAACGGCAAGAGTCGCCCCTTCACTTCTTCCAGGGCAACGGACACATTTCCGAACAAGTACCTGTCTGGATCTACCAGCAAGTCCACGCCCACCAGGCGAATCCACTCATACCTGGACAGCAGATACTGACTCAGCCAACCGAAGCGCACGCCCAGCTCAACGACTTGCACCTGACGTTGCAAGGTCAGGAATCGGTGGGCCGCGGCCCCCTCCACCAGGTGGAAAAACCTCATGTGCCCCAGCAGAAACGGAACGTGTTGTTGAAGTGTTGAGAATTTGCTTATTCAAATGAAAAAGAAAAGGTTTCGAAAACTAACCCCCCAAGAAGGGAGAAGACTAGACGCCGACAACAGTGAGTCTCCTCGAAGGCGACAGGGGCGTGGATCCTGCCAGACTCCGCATAACTGGGCGCGTTGCAGAGAAACGCCACCTTGGAAATGAGAGCCACGCCTGCCTTCGTGAGCTGCTTCGATGTCCAGAAGAGCCGATCAAGATCGACGTTGAGCTCCATATGGGCGTCGAAGCTGGTATGGACGTAGGGAGCAGCCGTATCCCGAAGCAAATTCGACACGAGTGTGTGGTGTCTCTGCAAGATAGCCACGACATCTCCCAGGCCAGGGGCAGCGCTCAAGCGATGTTGGGTCTCGCAGCTCTTGGCCTAAGTGCGTCTTCAATCGAAGGGACATCACTTGCTGCGACAACATAGGCCCTCAGACCCCTAGACACGCTAACCCAGGCCCGCAACCCACATTCCGGAATGCCTTATTAACCCTACAGCTCAGACTCAGCCAGTGTCTTCAAGAACCTGAACATTACGGGCAGCTTCCAACACAGACGACCCCTTTAGATGCCCCCAAAACAGTGAGAGACCATGTGCCCTACTTTGGAATAGACCCTGGAACAAAAGTATATACTTTGTGGGTATAAAGTACGTAGCTAGAATAGGAACCCAGAACCAAAAAAACAATCTTAAGTATTAAAGTATAGTACTCTAGGACCAACTTTCTTTAAGCTTTAAAGTATAGTACTCTAAAGCCCATGTGAGCCCCGGCATCCAAAAGAGACAACGGTCTCGCATTTCGGGAGCTCCGACATCCCAGTAGCTCAAAAAACGATGACAGTTTCGCATTGGGATGTTCCCCCATTACACTAGACCCTACTAAGTAGCTATAATAGGAACCCAGAAGCCCCTTATAATGGATCCTACTAAGTAGCTAGAATAGACCCTACTTTGGAGCAGACCCTGGGAAAGAAGGTATATACTTTTTAGGTATAAGTAGCTATAGTAGGAGCCCAGAAGCAAAACAAAGTATTGAAGTGTAGTACTCCAAAACCCAGTAGCAGTCCCCAGTAAGGACTGCAAGTACAAGGGGGAACATCCCCAAGTTTCGCATGTTGCGAGCCCAGAAGAACCGAAAGAGATGACAGTTTCAGAAGGACGGCGCGCGCTGCAACGCTCGCGCTTCGGCAAGAGCACGTTTCGCCGAAAACGCCAGCAAGTTTGGATGATCCCCCTTATACTTACAGTCCTTAATGGGCTGGTTGTCCCCTGTTATACTGCCTCCTTAGACTCTCTCTTTATCTATATATATATATATATATATCTATATGCAAAGGGGAGCATGCCAACCAGCAAGCCCCGATTCAAAAAAAACCAAAAAACAAAAAACAAGACTTTCTTACTCTTGATGTTGGAACCCCTACCTGTATAGTTGGTGTTGACACACTTTTTGGGGAATAGCAGGAGCCCCCGCCAAAACAAAGGTACCCGCAATTTTCCGAAACTCCCTGAAAAAAAACTGACCTCCCCGGCCTCTAGAAGACCCCAGACGCTAAATGCTAAATGCCAATCCCTAACTCCTAAACCCTGAACCCTGAACCCTAAACCCTAAACCCTAAACCCAGTCAGGGTTGGGGGACGATTGCCCACAGGTTGCATGATCCACCGCCGCCAGCATGGCGGCCAGCAAGCTGTCGTCGACGGCGAAGTTCGCGGTATCAGGGCTGATGGTACCCTGACAGGGCTCGCACAAGAGCACGGCCACGACCCAAGCAGGTTGAGTTGAGGTTGAGGGGATTTCGGTGTATAGGCTGTATAGGGTTCGAGGCTGTATAGGTGTAGGCGGAGGAGAGCTGATCCCAAACCCTTTACGTTTAACACCTACCCCACACCGTGAGACCTCAGGTGTCGCCCCGACACCAGATACACGCTTTCCGAAGGGAGTCCGCAACGCACCATACCAGCTGCATTGGTTATCGATCATCCTCATCCTCATCCTCATCCTCCTCCTCCTCCTCATCACCATCATCAGCACCATCATCATCACCATCGCCGCCATCACTGCGATCAGATCACCATCAGCAGCAGCACCGCCACCACCATCATCGTCGCCCTACGCGACTTCCCCGACGTCCCCCCTCGTCGGTCGTTGTCGCTATCAGGACATCCCAGGGTAGCTTTCCCGGAGTGAAGCACACGGTTCTCTTGGCGTGAAAAGTATGTACCTTGTGTTGAAGTACCCTAAATAATTTGCTCCGTAAAATAAACCCGCAACACTACAAGGGACCCTGGAATTTTGGGATTCCACGCCATCCACGATTGCGACAGCTGCCAGTTGTTTTCTGAACCTCTTTGCAGGCAATCCTAAACCCTAAGCCCTAAAAAGCCCTAATAAGCCCCAAAAAACAGTAAACCCTAAACCCTAAACCCTAAACCCTAAACCCTAAACCCTAAACCCTAAACCCTAAACCCTAAACCCTAAACCCTAGACCCTAGACCCTAAACTAAGGCCCAAGCAGAGAAGCCGGGCAGAACGCTTCTTGCCAGAATCGAGACGTCCGCCAGCCCCCGGCCTGCCGCCTCCAGTAGTTGCAGCGACAGGGCTTTGGTGGCATCCAGAGCCTTCACTACCTTGGTCGTAGGGTTTAGGGTTTAGGGTTTAGGGTTTAGGGTTTAGGGTTTAGGGTTTAGGGTTTAGGGTTTAGGGTTTAGGGTTGGGACGCGTTTAGGCTTTAGGCTTTCGGGTTTAGGTCTTAGGGTGGGGACCACATGCCTAGAGACTCCAGTACCCCTTAATTAGTCCTTTAAGTATCAGAGGTTCAAGGAATTTAGGGGCATTGGAGTCTCTCGGTTAACCCTAGAAGGGTTTAGGGGTTCACACTTACCTGAAGAGGGACTATACTAGTATCAGGGTATCATGGTTCATAGTACCTTAATAGGGATTCTAGTAGAGTGTCATATTGCCTAAGTAGGGATTCTAGTAGTGTTAGGGTAGTATGACCTCCCATGTTAGGGCTCAATTTGGTCCCCCAAGCTACGGCCTCTCCTTGACAGGACCTCAGGCACTCCGAGTTCTGCCCCGCCGCCACCCACGTGGCAGACACTGCTTGGACAAGGTGCTCATTGACCTGGGCTCTCGTGTTAAGCAACTGAAATTTGAGCTCCCACAAGAAGGATACTACATTATTTACTACAGATATACATACGTGAAAAAAGTATATGTATATATAGAGATAGATATCTACATACCCGATTGCAAATGATTATGGCACCACAACTTAAGATTTTAATTAGCTCCTTAACAAGAGCCCAGCGACAGGCCAAGGCAGACCGTATGATCGCCGAAGCTCCTCCTGAAAAGGCCCCTCCTGGCGGTAAGCATAGCCACCTTTACCCAGGCCAATGGTCGTGGCACCAAGCTCCAGGGACACGTCCTCGCCGGGGAGCTTCTTGAAAAGGCAGCAAGCCTCGAAGCCACCGGGATAGTTCAACCAGCACTCGCTCTCTGCCGAGCTGCAGCAGCGGGTAGAAGTAAACTCTGCGCTCCAACACTCCTGCGGCCGTCGGAAGCCAACCAAATTTAAAGCAGGTGGAGAGCTGGCTGCAGCAGCCACCAGGAAACATGGCCACTTGCATCTTGGCGACATCGCGCTGCTGAATCACGACCAAAATAAAACCCTCGAAACCTCGAAGTGCGGAATGAGAAAACCAAAATTCAGATTTCAGGTTGGTTCAGGGTTGATGGGGTTTATATGTTTTGTGGGGTTTATAGGGTTTTGAAGCCTTTATAGGGATTTTGGGGGCTATTCTAGACCCAAGAGTAGCCTGGAACAAAAGGGGTACCCTTTTTGGCATAAAGGCGCTGAAAAAGGGGAACCGAAACCCTAAAAAAAGAGAATAAGGGCCTACTCTGGGTCCTAGCTTAGTATTGACGGGGTTGGGAGGGTTTTAAAGGGTTTAGGGTTGAAGGGGTGAGGTGGCTGAGACGCGATGGCGACATGAGCCAAAAGAATTCATCAGCATCCTTTTTAGGTTTAGGGTTTAGGGTTTAGGGCTTAGGGTTTAGGGTTTAGGGTTTAGGGTTTAGGGTTTAGGGTTTAGGGTTTAGGGTTTAGGGTTCAATTGGTGGCGAACTGCCCCCCCGAAGCAACTGGAGCAAAGCAACGACAAGAGCCTCCCCCCCAACAACAAAAAAAAACGAAACCTCTTCCCCTGCACCCTCCTCCTTCTCCCCTACTTAAACCCTCCCCTGTAGATCTCCTGGCCCAACGGTTCCAACTTTGGCAAACTCCTGGAGCATGGTCCGTCCTCGCACGACGGTTCCGAGGTTTAGGGTCTAGGGCCGTAGGGTGCGCTTCTTCGCCTTCTTAGGCGTGGAGATACCGCATAAACACCCCAAACCAGAAACCCGAATCAAGAGCTGCATGACCCTGTCTTTCGTTGAGCTTACCGAGGAACCCTATTTACCTACAGTTTAGACGTAACTACCCGTAATTCGTAGGGTATAACCCATAAAACTGTAGGTAAAGAGGGTCCCTAGACCCTAGACCCTAAACCCTAAACCCTAAACAACCTGGTATGCCTCAACCACGAAGCCCCAACAAAGTAACGCAAGGCCTTCTTCGATCTTGCCCTTTCGGCAGTACTCCAGGAGCCTGCTCCGCACAGCTGAAGGTTTCAGGGGGCTCAGGGTGTAGTTTAGGGTTTAGGGATTAGGGTTTAGGGGTTAGGGGTTAGGGGTTAGGGTTTAGGGTTTAGGGTTTAGGGTTTAGGGTTTAGGGTTTAGGGTGTACACCCCGGCCCGAAACCCCATAAATGATGGGCCCTCGCTGGGCTACTGCAGAGAATGCGGCCCCACATAGAACAGCTTGGCCAGTTTTCTGTTCCAACAAAAGCCAGAAAGGACCCTAAACCCCAAACCCTAAACCCAAAACTCTTTGTTTTTTATAGTTGTTTTTCTTTGGGGGGGGGGGGGGGGGGGGGGAGGGAGAGGTGAGGCTCGCGGTAGGCTGTTTAGGGCTCAGGGAAGGTGGCTTCCTCTTAGTTAGCTGCATGGTCTCTCAGCATGGGCAGGGACCCCTTATACTCTCTATAAGGGCCCATTACTTCAGGAGAAGGTAAGAGACCAGAGCAAGGGCCCGTATAACTACCCTTTAGAAGCCCAACAACAAAAGGGACTCTCAAGCGGCCTTACTTTGATGTCGAGGCTCGAGTCACCATAAGGGTGCATGCAACTAGATGATTTTTACTTGGGCCCCAAGGCTACTCTATAGGAACCCCTTGAAGATCTACTGTATAGGTACAGGGACCCGATGGGTTCTCATTCTTATAGATGTCGGGCTTAGGGCTTTTATAGGGCGTATAGGCCTGATTGCAAGTGTCTTTGACGACCCAGCACTCGAGGACTGACTCGTTTGCTCGAGCTTCCGCCACTGTCACCGGTTTAGATCACCTCCGTGGTGGCCCTCCTCCTACAGGGTGGGGCCCCCTTACTATACTAACTGTAGTTAAGGGACTTATAACCTAACTTAGGGTCCTTATAACCCAATTTAGGGCCCTTATAACTCTACTTATAACTAGGGGGCCCCACCCTGTAGGGACGGAGGGCAAAAACCATGGAGCCGGCGTCCGCCCTGACCACTGACACGGAGCCTGTGATGAGAAACTGCACAGTCGAGTTCAGGATCACGCAAACCGCTTTCAAAACCCTAAACCCTAAACCCTAAACCCTAAACCCTAAACCCTAAACCCTAAAAGTGTCTTCGGCCTGGGCATCAAACCTTGGCTGACCCCTCCGTAAGAAATGCTGCAAGGATGCCATCGTAGGCCTGAACTCTAACTTGAACAGAGAGGCCATCGGCGTGAACAGGAAAACCCAGAGGTGTGCTGCCTATGTAGCAGGCTGGCTAAGTTCGACAAACGTCGCACGTATGCTGGCAGGGTTCAGGGCTTGGGGTATGGGGTTTAGTATGTAGGGTTTCATCTGCCCTCTATGATCCCCCCCACCCTGCCACGCGAGAAGACCCAACAATCCAGAATAAAGCCCTAAACTTACAGATTTATCATAGGGGATTAGGGAATACGGTGCCTTCTATTCTGCGCATCAACCCATTTAAGGGATTCTATAGGATAACAAGATCCGTGATTCCCAGGAGCCGGTAGGGAGCCCTAGACCCTCTTCCTCTAACCTGACAAAGCCGAGACTCTTAGCCAGAAATCCCCTGAGTCAAAGCACTGCCAAACCCCAAAACTCTCTGAACCAAAAACCCTAAACCCTAAACCCTAAACCCTAAACCCTAAACCCTAAACCCTAAACACACCCTTTCGGGCCTAAGCCCTAAGCCCTAACCCCTCCTAGAGCTGAAACCCTAAACACTCCAAGCAAAGAAGGCCACTTTCTGGGTAACCTGGGTAATGTAACAGTCTACCCTTCTGGTTCTCTTTAAAGTTATACTACAATACACCCCCCAAAACCCTATTTTATAATAGTCTTTATGGTCTCTTTAAAGAGTTATACTACAATACACTCCCCAAACCCTGTTTTATACTTTTTTACGGCCTCTATAGTATGCGAAGGCCCGGACCTGAGCTTGTCATCTGGTGTGGCCATGGCCTGGCCAGCAGCCCGGGGGGGGGGGGGGGGGTTGAAAGAGGTTAGGGTTTAGGGTTTAGGGTTTAGGGTTTAGGGTTTAGGGTTTAGGGTTTAGGGTTTAGGGTTTAGGGTTTAGGGTTTAGGGGTTCGGGTTTCGGACTTGGGGTTTGGGGTTTTGATGTTTGGGGTTTGGGGTTTCAGGTTTTTGGAGTTCAGAGGGGGGAGCTTTGGGTTTGACTTGGGGTGGTAGGGTAGGCTTGGCTCTAGGTGTGACGACTCCAAAGCCCAAATCCGAAACCCAAGCTAGGCTAGGGCCTGTCAAGCTCCGGTCTTCTGGTGCCCCGGGACGGTGGTCCATCTCAAGCCCGAAAAGCTAAACTCAAGCCTGGTTGCTAGCTTGGCCACGCGGTTTTAGGGCTTGGGGTATTTAGCGTTTAGGCCTTAGGGTCATGTAGGGTCTCACGGTTTTAGGGTTTAGGGCTTCGGGTTGTAGGGTTTAGGGCTTCGGGTGGTAGGGTTTAGGGCTTAGGGTTTTAGGGTTACAGGGGTTTAGGGCTCTTAGGGGGATACCAGGGAGGTGGTGGGGGGGGGGGGGGGGGGAACGCACAGCGCACAAGCACGTATCTACATATCATACCTTATAATCCCAAAACCCCTGCCTAGGGTAAAGCCTCCCAGCCCACAAAGCGGGCCTCAGCAGCGGGCGCACGGCAACCCTCTGGTACCCGCAAGCTGCGACAGACGTTGAGCCGTGAAACTTCAGGCGGCAGTTAAAAGATTTTCCCTATATTAGGGTTTAGGGTTTAGGGTTTAGGGTTTAGGGTTTAGGGTTTAGGGTTTAGGGTTTTAGGGTACTTCCACAAACCCAAGCGTGGTGTTGTTCTTAAGGCTTAAGAGTATCAGTAACCCAACTAGGTCCCTGGAAGTAGAGGGCTTGGTTCTGGCGGCGGCGGGTTAAGGGCTCAGGGGTTCTTAGGGTATCTAGGGTTTTTAGGGTTTAGAGTTTAAGGTTCTAGGGTTTAGGATGCTTAGGCTTTAGGGTTTAGGGTTTAGGGTTTAGTAGGGTCTAGGGTCTAGGGTTAAGGTACGAGGGTTTAGGGTTTAGGGTTCGCAGACCTTGATAGGGATTCTAGTTCAAACCCTGTTTAAAGCTTTGCGGTTGAGTTGGGGTTTAGGGCTGAGGGCTGAGGGCTGAGGGCTGAGGGCTGAGGGTTGAGGGTTGAGGGTTGAGGGTTGAGGGTTTAGGATTCAGGGACCTAGCCCGAAATTTTACAGCCACAGTGCCCAGCACCCCTCCTGGGGCTTGGGACGTTGGCTGACGGGGCGATTCAAGGCACGCTGACGGAACTGAACCCGAACACCTTAAAGCACCCCAACACCCCCGCAATACCCGAACACCCTCTGAGACCCTGCGCCTGAAACCCTTGGGGTTTAGGGTTTAGGGTTTAGGGTTTAGGGTTTAGGGTTTAGAGTTTAGGGTTTAGGGTTTAGGGTTTAGGGTTTGGGATGGTTTGGGGCTTATAAGGCGCTTAACAACCTTCGTAAGCGCGGGGCCTCCGCATCCGCTAGCAGGTCGGCCCACCTGCGCCGGGGCTCCGGACACCTCCATGTGGGACGGGTGTCTTTAGGGGGTCTTAGGGCTTAGGGTCCAGGGATTTTGGGGTCTAGTTTAGGGTTTAGGGTTTGGGGTTTGGGGTTTGAGGTTTGGGGTTTGGGGCTTAGGGTTTTGGGTTGGGATGTTCCCCCGTCTACTAACAGTCCTTACTAATTAGGGATTATAGTACCCCCTATTATAACCCTTATTCAGTCCTGTCAGTAAGGGTGAACATCCCAAGTCTAGGGTTTAGTGTCTAAGTCGGGTTTCGGGGGTTTTAAGTTGGGTTTCAGTCGGCTTTAGCTAGTCGAGTGACTAGGGTTTGCCGGGCCAGAGGCTTATGGTTCCTCAGGGACCCTCAGTGACCCTAAAGACCCTAAAAAGCCCTCACTGGGGCGTGCAGTTGCTGTTTGGGACTACCATGGGTCTATTGTTTAGGGTCTAGGACTTAGGGTAACAAG